CCAAAACTTATAATATTCCCTTTAGTACTTTGCAAGATAGACTAAAAACCAATAACTTTAAACCAGCTGCATTAGGACGCCCATCTATTTTCACATCACAACAAGAGTCAGAAATGGCTAAACATATAATAAATTTAGCAAATTTGTTTTATGGGCTGACACCACTTCAATTAAGAACTGTTGCATTTGAATTTGCTGAAAATAATAAAATAAAACATAACTTTAATCAGCAATTAAATTTGGCAGGTGTTGACTGGTTCTATAATTTTGTTCGTCGAAACCCAACTGTTACTGTCCGAAAACCTGAAGCCATCAGTATAAGTAGGATTACAGCTTTTAACAAAACAGAAGTACAGCTTTTTTTTCAAAACTTGGGAGAATTAATGTTGAAATATAAGTTTTGTCCAACTAGAGTGTATAATATGGATGAAACAGGCATTACAACCGTCCAAGATCCTGGCAAAATAATTGGATCAAAAGGACAAAAACGAATTGGCAGTGTTACTAGTTGGGAGCGTGGAAAAAATAATACGGTAATTTGTGCTATGAGTGCTTCGGGGTCATTCATACCACCTTTATTTATTTTTCCACGTAAAAGAATGGACATGAAGTTGACCAAACATGGCCCACCAGGAGCTGTGTATGAATGCACAAAAAATGGTTGGACCACAGAAGACATTTTTATGAAATGGCTTAAACATTTCAAAAATTATTCAAACCCCACAAAAGAAAATCCAGTATTATTAATTCTAGACAACCATGGAAGCCATATTTCACTACAAACATATGAATTTTGTAGGGAAAATCATATTGTAATGTTATCGTTGCCTCCACACACATCCCACCGAATGCAGCCCTTAGATGTGACTTTCTTTGGGCCACTCAAAACTGCTTTTAGAAGGGAATGTGACAATTACATCAAAAGTCATGCAATGATTAAAATAACACCTTTTGAAATTGCAGAGCTTTTTAATAAAGCGTATTCTCAAGTTGCAACCATTCAAAAAGGTATTTCTGGATTTTCTGCTACAGGAATTTTTCCATTGAATCCAGGAATATTTACTGATGAAGATTTCTATGCTTCAATGACCTTTAACCAAGATAACACTGGCCATGAAACTCCAGTTATTATTGAAAATGAAACTCCAGTTATTATTGAAAATGAGAACCTCACACCAACTGACTCTAATAATACACATCATTCAATGGATACTTCACCAAGTGTTTCTATACAAGAAATTTCACCTATACCAAAAATACTTCCAAAAAGAGTTATAAGGCGAGTGGCAGCAAAACAGCATTCTTCTATACTAACCGCCAGTCCTATGAAATCTAAGCTTGAAGAAAGAGAAAAAAAAAGAAAAGAAAAAAAAGAAAAAGAAGATCAAAAACTTGAAAAAAAAAGAATGATGACTAAAAAGAAGAAAGGAAAAAAAAGTTGTAAGTATTTATAATTTATTATTAAGTTGTAACATATCCACAATTTATAAATTTTATAAAATTATATTAACATATTATAAAATTTATCTTTATTTTCAGTACCAAAAAAGAAAATTTCTAGGAGGAAACTGTTGAATGAATTTGGAGAAGGCAGCAGTAACACTCAAAATTACTTTAGTTCATCAGATGATATGGATTTTTCAAAGCTGTGTGATGACAATAGTGATGATGATATTGATGATGGAGGAGAAACATGCTTGATATGTGAAGAGAGGGGAAAGGATGAGATTTGGTACAGGTGTACAATTTGTGGTTTTTGGGTTCACTCAGAGTGCAGTGGTGTAGATACTGCAAAAGACTATGAGTGTGACATATGCGTTAGTAAATTGAGAAAAGAGGCGTTCTTAAAAAAAAAATAATTATATAAATATGATTCCTATATATTTTTGTTTATTTAAAAGTAGAGATATTTATAAACTATAAGACTTATGTGATTTAAGAGTCTGATTCACTAGGTATATAATTAAACAGAGATATTGTTAATTTTTTTTATTGTTATTGTTCTTGATATTATTTTTACCAAAGATTTGGTTCCTATTAAAATATATCTATGTATTTTATTCAAAATTGTACTTAAATATTAAGCAGATAATTAACTATTTTTAAATTAACATTGTGATTAGGTAATGTTTGTAATTTCAGAGACTGATTCTCTAGGTACCTATATAATTAAACAGGGATATTGTTAATTTTTTTTATTGTTATTGTTCTTAATATTTTTTTTACCAAAGATTTGGTTCCTATTAAATAACTATGTATTTTATTCAAAATTTTACTTAAGTTTTAAGCAGATAATTAATTATTTTTAAATTAACATTGTGAATAGATAATGTTTGTATTTGAGAGACTAACATCTATAAGCTAATTAACTAAAACAAAAGTTTCTACTTATAAGAAGTTAAATTGGTAGGTTATGTTTGTAATTTTTATTGAAATAAATCAGTTTTTTTATCATTTGTCCTTTGTACTTTTAATCATTTAATCATTTTGTTATTTTAAACATTTTTCTTTTGAACTTTTAATCATTTTTTTATTGATTTTTAAAAAATGATTTTAAACCTATTTATTTACATGCAATTTTTCATGACCGGAATTCCCCCTACCCCGGGGGAATACCGGTCAATTGGGTTTTTTTAAAAAAATTAAAAAAAACGTACAAGCAAATTTTTTAAAAATTTGAGGCATTGATATAACAAAGAAAACAAGTTTGAGTATCCATTTCTTCAAGTAGCATAGAGTTTAGTGTCATAGAACCTGAGATATAATAATTTTTGCTTAGGTGACCGTAGTTCCCCCAGTCTCCCCTANACAATGTTTAATATTTTGATACTAACTGAAATTATTATGGTCTAGAATAAAATAATATTATGTTTTAAACCTTTATAAAATATAGAGCATTGTTACCTTTATATTTAAAAACAAGTATATATTTGGTCACAGGAATTAACTTCAGGAAATTTTGTAGAACATTTATAAGTTGACAATGTTCATTAAATAAAAATAAGATACTAAGTGTTAAACTTTAAATTAATAATATCATAATTTTTTGATTACGTTTGTATTTAAATGTAACCATTCATATTAATAGATACCTATGTATTAGTTTCACTAGACCAATGATTTACATTTGTGTAGTTTTTCTGTCAACTAAATATGTGTACATAATTTATACTTTATAACAAAGTTACTTTTTTTTTTACTTAATATTTTTGAACTTCTTACAATAATTATTTCAATACTTATTATTTGACCAATTGCAATGCGTATCAATAAATAACAGGCCTATATGTTTTCAAATTAAATGCAAAAGATTATTAAAACAAACAGCTACTATTTAGACTTATTTGAATACTGAAAATACTTTTTAAAATTATTTTAATATGTGCATAATACTTACACATGTTTGTATTTGATAAATAAATAATATTTATATATATTTATATATTTAACACAGATTCAAAAGGTTCAAATGGTTCATGGGAAAATTGTACATTGCATAAACGCAAAACCTCACATATATTCAGATTGGTTGGTGATATTAGACGATCTAGTAAAGACAATGTTACCTTTCACCACTGTCGCGAGTTGCGGTCATGCTTTAAACAGATACTTAAATACGACAATATCCTGTGGAAACTCGTAAGTGTCTCCTCTTCACCTCCTCATTTTAATTATCATTATACTCCTACTACTCTACTAAATGTGTTCGGAAGGCGTTAATAAATTCATGTGTTTGACAGGGAACAGTTGGCCGTGTTGCGGGAAAACGGACATCTCAGTTCGGTGTACCAGAATGGCACGCCGTTGGCTTCGCTGCATGATGTCATGCGTGTTTTTGAGCAGTTAAAGACATTGTTGCATGAAAATACACAAAAATATCAATCTTGGGCTGATCCGTCCAAGAGGCGACGCTACAGTTAAGAATGGGCCGGGTACGACAGGAGCCGACCCGACTGGCCGAAGCCGTTGGCGGGTGCAGCATCAGCAGCAGCAGCTGCAATGGTGTTGCCATTCCCACTCCATCAGCCATTCCCGCAGCCGCCAATAGTTCGTACTCGCTGACAGCAACGATTGGCCAAACTTCGGTGCCTCTGATACAAAATAGTAATATACGTATTTAAATGCCACGATATTTTTAGATATTTTTCCATTAAATAATTATTTTTTTTTATTTTTGCATTTACTCTTAAGTATTAATTAAAATCTAAGTTGTTTAATATACAATGAACACTTGTAAAATTGTAAGTTGACTATATTTTGTACATATTTAAAATTTGTATAGAATAATTAAATATAGAAATTTATTTTTTCAATGAATGTTGTTTAATTTTGTACTAAAAAAAAAAAAATAGAAATCTCTTATTTTTTTATTAGTAGTTATTACAGATTATATTTACCTACCTCATATAATACTATATACAAAATTAGGCTTAACGCCGATCCCTGACACAATATTCGATTTAGCTATAGTTCTAGGAATTCATGCAGAAAACCGCGTGTATCAAGTGGAGTACAAATGCACGATAACGAATATATATATAAATAATTTTTTTAATGTATCATAAAATCAAACAAAATACGTCTGAACGAGAATACTCAAGAAAGTATAGGACTGAAATCACTTGTCATTTGACGTAAAATGTATAACTCCGCCGTAGCATGATCGGGGCAGACAGTAAGCATAGGCGCAAATTGAGGGGGGGAGGGCCTTAGCCACTACCCTAAAAAATCTAGGAAATCTAATTTTAAAATCCTACATTGTAAACGTGTATAGTTTGTAATTTTAGATTTTGAGCTGGGCGAAGAATGTATTGATTTTACAATGATGTGTGCTTTTTTTAATTTTTTTATTTTTGTCTCTATCATCACGGTTTCAGGCAGTAAATGTGCTTCGATTTTCTTCAACAGTAACTTTTCTTTTAGGAAATTGAATCTAGTTGGTGCACTTAGGATTTCAAATTTGAAATTCACAATAGTTTTCAACAGCGACAGGAAAAACAAACAAAAAATTAATGAAAAACTGGAATTTTTAAGCGAAAGTAGTTTTTGAAAAAATCGAATTTGGTTTTTAGTGTAACTCTAAAAAAATGACCATAGATGCATGCATTTTTCACTGTTTGTTTGTATTAGAATTTAAAATTGTATAAACACCATATCAATTAAAAATATTTTGACAAAATGAAATTTTCGATTATTAATATTTTTCTTTTTTACTATCGATACATTTTTGGCTAAAAAAATGTAGAACTTTCCTCGTAAGTTGTTAGTGGAATTTAAAAAAAAAGTTGAGGGTGAAACCATAACATTTTTTTTGACAAAATTCGTAAAAATTAGCAAATTATTTTGAGTTGGAATAATGCATAAAAAAAAGTTTTTATCTAAAATTCTTTATATAATTTCTAACAATAAGTTTCCTTAATTTTTCAATATTAAAGTGGTAAATAGTACACATATTTACAGAACTATCAGATAAAATATTCAATATTGGTCAGGCATTTATAATGATTGCATAGACATAAAATGCATTAAAGCTATTAAGAGATTGATTCTCTGAAAAACATGTATGACTTCTACTCTTGAATAACGCTGAAATAAACGTTCATCAGCTGGACAACCATTTTGGAGTAACGTCACAATGAACCCTAGAACAATTATGAAATATAAATATTTACAATCATCTAAATATTAAATATGGATCAATGATAAGTATGAACTAAGTGTATATTCATCTTAGAAGTGACTCAAACAATTATATTCTATTTAAATATAAGATAGATTATAACATATGCGATAAAAGTATACAGAAGTAGTTTTGAAAGAAATGTCAACAACAATAAACGAGAACATAAATGTGAAAAAAACATGATGTACAATGTATGAATAATTTTGGTATGAGAAGAAAATGTAATATTATTTTGCAGTTGTTAATATAAATATTGTAGAATGCAAATTATAAATTGACTATTACTCGTATGTCAGAAACATTCATTCAGATGAATGTAAAAACAAAATTATGGATATGAAATCATATAACTGTAGAAATTCAATAATGATTTTAAATACTAAATATCCAACACTCTTAAAGTCTTCACCATAAATCAAAGCAATGTTTATTAAAATAACTATTTCCAACAGTAAGTTTCCTTAATTTTTCAATATTAAAGTGGTTAATATTTATGAGGTAAAATATACATATTGTGACATTATGTTAAATAGTTTACTACACTCTGAAGGAGTTCTAAGTTCTTGTAGTACCAAAGTTTCTTGTACGCCAAATTGTATATTGTGTTTTTCAATATATATCATTAATTTGATTATAAAACCATCAAGCTTAGTAAATAACAATGATTTCTTATTTGCGGGATATAGTTCTTCAAAATCAATTTCAATCTATATAGAAAATAAAATATATAAATTCAAGAAAACACTAAAAATATATTAATTAGTAAATTACACTATAATGTTATAAAAGTGTTTGAGCCTGTTTATTTGGAGCAATGAATTATTTTATTTAGATTTACAAATTATCAAAGATGAAATATTACAACTTAATTACCGATAGATAGCCTGTAGGTTTTTTTAAAGCAGGATAACTATGTGTTTCTAAAAATCCTTTCTTATTTCTAAATTTAGAGGTTTCTTTCCAATATTTGAATAAAATGTGTTCAGGCTCGACATTGTTTTTTAGCCATTGAATTCTGTCTTCATTATCTATTGCAAATAATAAATTATTTTATTTTCTAAATTCTTTATGGTCGTAAATCACATTAAAATAATTAATATAAAAACTAGTGGTAAGTACCGGCATTATTTTCATCATCATTAGTCACACATGCTATAGTGGCAGGAGCTTCAATTTTCTTAATTTCTTTTTTTAGATTACAATATTTATTGTACAATTTCCCTCTAGTTGGAATTTGAATTTGTCCTGCACTTCTGCAATATGGTGTGTAATATGTGTCCTTAGATTCAGTAGGGAAAATCATTTCTATGCCTAAACCTGGGATGTA